ATTTTTTTTTTTTTTTTTTTACTGATTTCAGAGAGGAAGGGAGAGGGAGAGAGAGAGATAGAAGCATCAATGATGAGAGAGAAACCTACTGGGGATTGAGCCTGCAACCTAGACGTATGTCCTGACTGGGAATTGAACCATGACCTCCTAGTTCATAGGCTGATGCTCAACCACTGAGCCATGCCAGCTGGGCGCGCTCTGCCCTTTATGCTGTACTCAGGGAAACGGAGACGTAGCTACTTAGTAAATCTGGGAAGGATAACCGGGGCCTCAGCCTTGGCCTCCTTCCCTTGGCAGCAAGCATCAAGCTCTCTCCATCCCTGTAAGGGACAGTCGGGTGTGGGGGATGTGGGGAGTCCTGCCCCACCTCTTGCTCTGATGAGACCGGGTGAGCTCATCAGCTTGATCTGGGGGTTCTCCATGCCACCTCCTCCACCTTAGCTTGTGTCTCCTGAGAAAGGCAATTCTTCATTCTTTTCTTTCTTAGTTTATTTAGATCCTGCTTACTGTATGCTGAGGCTCCTCAGAAAGCCCAACATTCAGAAACTTAAGGAATGATCTTAATGGCGAGGTGGGGCAGAGGAGATGTCCTGGAGTCACTCCTCCAGGCTCAGCCCCAGTCACTCACGGTCGCTCAGCACGTCGTAGGCCTCCGCTATTTGCTTGAATATCTCCACTGAGGCTGGCTCCGTGGACTTCAGTGGGTGGTTCTTCAGGGCAAGTTTCCGGTACCTAGAGGAAGGAGGGTTAGAACAAGTCCTAGCAGAACTGGTTCAGAGCTGGCTCAGCTTTCTACTGCCTGGGGGCCTCTTAGAGCTTTGGTGTGCCCAGCTGTAAATCAGGGCTGCGGTGGCCAGGGAAGCACACTGTTCAGACCCCCTTGAAGAGAACCCAGTGTAGGGAGCACAGCTGACTGACAGCCCAGCGGCTGCCCCTACCCAGGTCTTTGTGCTGATCCTATACCCCCACCCAACCCCAGCTGCTCCCAGCCAATGGATAAAGATGCTGGGGATATTAGTGCTGGCCCAACCCTGAAGGACACAGGGCTCCTCATCACACAACCTCTGCTGCTTGAGGCCTCCTCATCAGCCTGGCTGAGGTTTTCTGCAGACCAGGCTGCAGCCTTCCTTTCCCAAACCTTCCTGCCCTCTCTCCTTCCACAGGTGTCAAACCTAGACAGTCCTGCTCCCCCTTTACCCTAAGTGTTTCCCCAATACATTTTTTACACCTCTAATCCTGTCTTGGTGTCTGAACGGACACACAGGCCTCTTGGGACGAGTAGATAAAATAAGGTGTCGCCAAACCGGTTTGGCTCAGTGGATAGAGCGTCGGCCTGCGGACTCAAGGGTCCCAGGTTCGATTCCGGTCAAGGGCATGTACCTTGGTTGCGGGCACATTCCCAGTAGGAGGTGTGCAGGAGGCAGCTGGTCGATGTTTCTAACTCTCTATCCCTCTCCCTTCCTCTCTGTAAAAAATCAATAACATATATTAAAAAAAAAAATAAGGTGTCAAAGGGCCTGGTACAGAGCGGCACTCCGCGCAGGTCAGGTGCTTTCACCGTCTCCAGTTGCTGTTGCCTATAATCTGAGACGGCTCCGAATTACAGGCAACAGTAACTCTTACTGAGCTGGGTTTGCTGTCCTGGGACCCTACCTCTTCATCCATGAGGGTCCTGGCTCAGCCCTTGGAGGTCGTGCAGAGAATCTGCTCTGTCTACCTCGAGAGACTTAAAGATAATTGTCATGACCCATCTGAGACTTCTAAAGCAGCCCTCTCCATTACAGAGGTTGCAGTCAGTTCTGAGGAGATTTGCAAGTAAATTCTATCAGTGAGTAAGAGTAAAGAGATTTGAGAAGAGTTCAGTTTTTCATGTAAACGTGAGTGGCTTTAAGATGATCTCCACAGTAGTATCACCTACTCTCATTCACCTGCTTTCCTGAGTGGGAGACGGGGTGGAGTCACAGTGCCGCTGTGGCAACCTACAGTGAATGAGTGACACTGAAAAGGTTCACTGGTGACTGATTATGAATCATTGTTATATAAGTTTAAATTGGGGGGTGGTGGCAAAATCTAGGTACTCCTATGGGAGAGTGTGTTATACATGTGACTCAGCCCTTAAGAGCTGTTGCAGGGGAGAAGGGTTAAGCGCCGTTGTTTGAAACATATGCAGTTCTTTTAATCACTAAATACATGGTTTCAGATGCAAATGATTGCTGGCATATTCATGTTCATTATCTCATATAATCCCATTTTAGTACCATGACAACCCTCCTCCCCTTCTTAGGGAGAGATGGGAGAACTGAGGCTCAGAGAGGTTAAGTAACTTGCCCATGTCACACAGCTAGCAGGTAGGAGAACCTGGACTCAGACCTAAATCTTTCCAATGCTTAAGTTGGGCTCATCGTTCTGGATTCCAACTGCCCTCCCTCCGCATGATATGTCCCTAGACGGGCCCCAAAGGCCAGTGAGCTGCTCCGAACAGTGACATGACACACTGTCCTGAATTGTTCTTTGTTTCATGAGTTTGTGTCTTGTTTCTCCAGCCATACTGTAGCCTCTCTCCACTTACGTCACTTAGATGCCTAATGGACCTGGCCCACGGTAGCAGGCCTGGTGTCTGAGTGCGGGCTCTGCTGTTTCTAGGCATGTGACCTTGGGATAATAATGGCACCTGCCTCCCAGGGTTGTAGGATGATTAAGTGAAATAATGATGGAAGGTTCTCAGAACAACACCTGTACAATTCCATAAATGTAGTAGTATCACTACCCAACCTTAATTGATCCAATTATCCTAGATTCCTTCCTTTTTTTTTACCCTCTAATTAGCCAAGTAATTGTCAAGTCCATTCTCTCCCCTCTGGACAGCCCCCTGCCCGACTTCACGCTTCAGCTTTTGCCTTATCATTACATCCTCTGAAGGGGTCTCTCTCCTTCCAGTATAAGCTTCCACAGCACCCTGCACTTCCCCTTTTGTAACACTCATCACACTTGTGACTTATTCAACATCTGTATTCACCCACAAAATTAAGCTGCATCTCTGAGTCATGCTTATATCTCTTAACTCATTAAGTAGTTGCTCAATAATTATTTGTCCAAGTTTTTTTTTTCCAGAAAAATGTGCTAACTCCTGTCCTAGACTTTCTTAGAAATAGACCATAACGCCCCCAAACTTGATGCAGTTTATTCAACAGTAAAACCCATGTGACAGCCAAAGTAAAACTTGTAACACATCCTTCTGGCCAGATCACTGTTCTGTTCTCAATCCTTTAGTTCTCCATATTATTCAGAATAAAATTCAAATGTCTCCTTTGTCCCCATTTCATAGTTAGGAAAACCAGGGCACCTAAGAGGGGAAGACAGGGCATGGAGGGTAAAGGATGATGGACTGGGAACCCTGACGCAGCCCAAAGCCAGGCTATAAGTGTGCAAGGAGCACGAGAAGAAACAAGGTTTACTTCGCTTGCCCAAAGCTGTGCAGGAAAAATCTATTTGAAAGAGAAGATGGGGCCTGCCCCAGCATATAACCCAGCTTCTGTCCCAACTTACGCCTTCTTGATCTGGGCATCCTCTGCATTGCGAGTGACATGGAGTATAGCGTAATAATCCTGGCCCATGGCTGGCTGGCCCGCAGTCCTCAATAGCCCTGACTCTAGCCGGGCTGTTAGTCTGCATTCCTTGGTTGCTCCTGGCAACCGCACAGGTGCACTCTGGGAGTTAGAGTCCTTCCTGCCTAAGCAAACCACCTTCCCAGCTCTGTCTTATGGAAGAGTGAATGCAAGAACTGAGAGAACTGGGGCTGATTCTGTGACCCTGATAAAGATCACTCAACTCAGAAACCCGAGGGTTAAGAAAGTAGCAATTAGTTTTAATTTAAAATTTCTCATAACAAATGCATTTTGCTGTTTTTTAAAATAAATTTTTATTTTAGAAAAGTTTTAGATTTTCAGACAAGCTGTGAAGATAGTAGAGTTCTCAAATACCCCACACTCAGTTTCCCCCATTGTTAACATCTTACAAGTTCTTTGTACATTTGTCACAAATAATAACCAATTTTGACATGTCATTTATATCAGTTCATTCTTTATTCAGATTTCCTAGTTTTTAACTTAATGTCTTCTTGCTGTTCCAAGATCCCATCTAGGATCCCGCATTACATTTAGTTGTCATGTCTCCTTAGGCTCCTCTTGACCACAACTGTTTCTCAAACTTTGTTTTTAATGACTTTGACAATTTAAGGAGTACTGGTTATTTTGGAATGTCTCTCAATTAGGATTTGATGTTTTGTTTGTTTTTTATGATTAGACTGGGGGTTGTGGGTTTTGGAAGGAAGACCAGAGTGCCATTCTCATCACATCAGATCAAAGGTATTCCCACCAATATGACCTATCACTGGTGATGCTGACCTTGATCACCTGCTGAGACAGTGTTTGCCAGGTTTTTCCACTGTAAAGTCACTTCGTTTCCCCCTTTCTGGGTTGTACGTTTTGGTGGGAAGTCATTTTGAGGCCCACCCCTAAAGAGTGGGACGTTCTGCCCTAACCGGTCTGGCTCAGTGGATAGAGCGTCGGCCTGCGGACTCAAGGGTCCCGGGTTCGATTCTGGCCAAGGGTATGTGCCTTGGTTGCGGGCACATCCCCAGTAGGGAGTGTGCAGGAGGCAGCTGATAGATGTTTCTCTCTCATCGATGTTTCTGACTCTCTATCCCTCTCCCTTCCTCTCTGTAAAAGATCAATATAATATACTTTTTTAAAAAAGAGTGGGACGTTCTGCTTCATCTCCTTGAGGGCAGCAGTGCACTCACAAGCCAGAAAGAGAAAGAAGGGGGGAGGGGAGAGTGATAAAGTAAACAATAAAAAGTTAAATACTGGGAGATCTGGGTGATTAGAATCCTTTGTACTATTCTTGCAACTTATTTGTAAGTTTGAAATTATTTCAAAATATAAATTAAATTAGAAAAAAATATAAAATATATCCACATTGTTTAAAATAAACCTTACTTTACAAGGCTATTGTGAGGACTGTGCTTGGTACAGAGTCCTTGCTCCATAGCTGATGCCATTGTCAGCTTGAGAAACAGAGGCACTTCTCACAGTAAGTCACAAGGGGGCATCTGAAAACCAAGAAACAAGGTGTAGCAGAGCATCCTTGGGCCTGCAGTGCTGCAGATGGGGGTTGTGCACCCTTCCTTACCCAGGATGCACTACTTAATCCAAAAGAAAAAGTAAGCTTTGTCTGTTACAAACTGGGGATCAGTCCATTCACAGTGGACAAGGCTTGGGTGTGGATTTCACAGCAGCTCTCAAGGTCACTGCATCCATCACAACCAGGATATCCACTTTGGAGACCTACGGAAAGGGGGTTATGAATGTGATAGCAATGGAGAAGAGTGAGTCCAAGAATGGGAACTCAGACACACTGGCCATGTGAGGAACTCAAGCCATAATCCTGTTCAAGCCATAATCCTGTTTTATTTTCTTTCTTTTTTGAGAGAGAGAGAGAGAGAGAGAGAGAGAGAGAGAGGAAGGGAATATCAATTTGTTGTTCCACTTATTTGTGCATTCATTTGTTGATTCTAGTGTGTACCCTGACCAGGGATTGAACCTGGTGTATCAGGACAATGCTCTAACCAGCTGAGCCAGACCAGCCAGGGCTCATCCTGGCTTCTTAATCTGACTTCTGAGAGGTCCCCTTGGACTTCCTAGGAATCGATGTTTCTCAGCTCTGGAATATGTCTCTTCGGTCACCTGAGCCTATCACAAATCACTTCTTCAGTGAAATAGCTCTAGTCCCAGGTCTCGTGGCCACATGCTTAGGTGGAAGGAGCACAGGCCTTGGAGACAGACTGAGCAAGGTCCAAATCAAGGCTCTGGTACTTAATGTTGAGCCTCAATTTCCTTATCTGTAAAACAGGAATATCTTCCTTTTTAACCGTGTTGTAAGGATTAAATATACACAGATAGAACCTAGAACAGAGTAGATTACTAGTAGATACTCAATGAATGACAATATTTTATTTTCACAATTTTGTTTAGGCATTAGCAACAGGTAGAAAAAAATGGCATTTAAAGTTAAGATAAACTGTTCAAGTTCCTGCTCTCTATGACCCCTGGCAAATCACTTCATCTCTCTGAGTCTCACTACTGGTATGTCACAAGGTAGCAAAAGACTACATGAGAACACGCCTTTAAGAACTCTGTAAACCAGACTGTTACCTGAGCCAGGAATTACCCTCTTCCCTTAAATAAATTCCAGAGCTCAGCCACATGGCTCAGCTCAAGTGTTGCAAGCTCCAAACTTTTTCTTTAATAATCTCTAAAATGTAAATGATATGGCTTTCATGTTCTGGAAATTGTTAAAAAGAATGAAGGTCTAAATGTAAAAGAACTAAGATACTAAGTGAAAATAAGCCACAGAACACAGAATGATTCCATTTTTATGTTTAGAGAAAAAAAGAAGTAACCATGTCACACTTTTGCTTAAAAACCCCTTCATGACTCCCCACTGCCAGCCAAGTGAAGTTCAAGCTCCCCATCTGGCATTCAAGCTCCTCCACTATTCGGGCCCTGCCAGCCTCTCCAACCTCATCTCCTACAGACCAGCCTGGCCATCCTATGAGCCCTGGGTTCTATCTCTGACTGAAGTGCCCTATACCATCTCTTTCTCTAGATCTCAAACTTCAGCATGCTTCAGAATCATGGAAGGCTTGTTAAAATAGATTGTAGGCCCTACCCATAGAATTTCTGATTTAGGTCTGAGGTGGGCTCAAGAATTTCTATTTCTAATTCCCTGGTGATACTAAGAAGCTGTTCTAGGGACCACTTTCACAGCCACTGCCTTTACAATGTTTTGATTCAACTTCATCACCTGTATATAGGCTGACAGACCATGTCGGTTTGCTGGGACTGAAAGCCACAGGTAGCCCAAAACCCCTCAGTACAAGGAAAACTGGGATGGTAGTCATCCTACCTGTACAAAAGTCTTGCCCAGCATGCTGCCTATGGGATCTTTACTGCTCATGTCAACAGTCCTCCTCTAAGACCAGGCCAACAGGAAGTGCCTGAGAAAGGAGTTCCATCAGCCTGACTTTCTGCTGGAATAAGAGCATTTAACGAAGTTTTCAAATTCTGACTCCTCCAAACATACTCTCTTTATTCCCTTCAGAGAACAGGCTTTGGTCCCCTGGTCCTGTAAACATTTAACACAACAGATGTGTGATCAAGCTGTGAGCAATCCATCACCTTCCCCGTGTTGCTGCGGTGAGTTTATAGAAGGAGAAGTCGGGCAAATGCAGTGAGCACATGTGAGCTTCTTACTCAGTTCACATTAGTCTTGTGTGGAACAGCAGTTCCACGTGGCCAATGTAGCTGACTCTGTGACTTCCGAAGGGTGCCCGTGACAACAAAGAGCACGGTCCTCGGGAAGGACTGATGATGTTTCTGCTCATTGTTGGTCATGGGCAATCGTTTTCATTAACTGGGACTCCTCCTTCACAGGAATCACAGGTCAGAGAGCTGATAGCGCCGCACGAGACCATCTCGACAGCATGTGTAGATCTGCTTCTCCCATGTGGCTACCTGGAATACAAGAGTTCACAGCTCACAGTAAGCCTGGAATTCTTCCATTTCAAACAGATAGAGCCTTGTCATTCACCCCCACTAGTACAAGGGAGTCTGAGAAGCTTTATTTACTCCAAAGACAAGAAAATAATGACATCTATATGTATTTTTAAAGTGGCTAGCCATCGTCAAGAGCACTATGACTAGAGACAGTAATTACCCAACTGGAGAGCAAACCCATTAGTGTTGTGCCTGTTAGAGAGTCTATACCTGGGAGGAGAAAGATGGTCCATAATGGCCCTGGGTACCCCTGAGCCTTACAGAATTATACACAAGGAAGTTCTCAATATGTGTCTTTTTTTCTGAGGAGAATTTCATAGACTTCTCAAAAAAGTCTGAGACTCAAAGAAGGTTAAGAGCCACTAAATCAGTGAAAATAGCATTAATTCAGAAGTTAGCTGAGTCTCAGGTTTGCTTATGCAGCTGCACAACCATGGGCAACTTTCTCAACTCCTCTGGGCCCCAATTTCCTTATTTGTAAACTGAAAATGATATATTAATTCACAACATAGAACACAATGCAGAAACTTTTAGAAGTAAAGTGGATCTATATGCATTTATCTGGAAAGAGCTCCAAGATGATAAGTAAAAAAAAAACACAAGTGCCCTGGCCGGTTTGGCTCAGTGGATACAGTGTTGGCCTGCGGACTGAAGGGTCCTGGTTCAATTATGGTCAAGGGCACATGCCCAGTGTGGGACGTGCAGGAGGCAGCCAACCAATGATTCTCTATCATCATTATATTTCTCTCTCTCTCTCTCTCCCTTCCTCTCTGAAGTCAATAAAAATATATTTTAAAAATAAAATAAAAATAAACAAAAAGTCATAAGGCAATACATATAAGATGATCCCAGTTATGTACAAACTAAGATAAACCTGTATTATTTATATAAATACATAAGCACAAAAAACAGTCTTGAAAGATATGTGCCAAACTGTCAATGCCAGTAACTTCTGGAAAGAAGAGCTGAACTAGCTCAACCAGTGTGGCTCAGTGGTTGAGTGTCAACCTATGAACCAGATCGTCAGGGTTTGATTCCCAGTCAGGGCACATGCCAGGTTGCCAGCTGGATCCCCAGTTTGGGGCATGCAGTAGGCAGCTGATCAATGATTTTCTCTTATCATTGATGTTTCTCTATCTCTCTCTCCCTCTTCTCTCCTCTCTCTGAAATCAATAAAAACATATTTTTTAAAAAACAAGAACTAAACTAAAAAAGTCTTAGAGGAGACTTTTTTTCTAGCCATGTATTAATTACATAATTTTTAAAAATTATATGAAAATATAGGAATAATAATACCTATACTTCAAGGAATGAAAACACTTAATCAATGAGATAATACACGTAAAACATCCTGCACAATGACTGGTCAATCAATATTATTTCCCCTTTTATTTTTCTCTTTCCATTCTAATCAAATCAAACAATCAGTCTTGAACTTTAAATAGTAATATCTAATACTTATAGAGTATTTTAAAATATATATTATTTTTATTGATTTCTGAGAAGACGGGAGAGGGAGCGAGAGAAACATCAGTGATGAGAAAGAATCATTGATTGGCTGACTGCTGCACACCTGCTACTGGGGTCAATCCTGCAACCCAGGCATGTGCCCTGACTGGGAATCGAACTGTTACCTCTTGGTTCATAGGCCGATGCTCAACCACTGAGCCACTGGGCTATACAGTATTTAAATTTATAAGGAGCTTTCATATGCATTATTCCAGTATTATCCTCATTTTACAGATGAACTGACAGACGGGGGAGGTGAAGTGATTTTTCAAGTTTCTAGATCTAGTAAGTGATGAAGTAATTTCTGACTCAAAATTCTGATTTCTTTCTATCCCATCCCTAAGTATTTCATCACCCGTAAAAATCACAAAGTAACTGGATTCAGTCCCCTCCAAAGCTCTAGATCCCAGGTGAGAACCATCAAGTCTTGGTCTCCAGTCAGGCCTGTACCTTGTACACAGGGTCACAGTCAGCACCAGTGAGCTCAATAACATAGTCTAAGTCTTGCTGGACAATGAAACAGCT